GAAACGACAGTATATGCAGACGTAAAAGTTCCAGTGTAACGAACGTAGCCAGCGTAACGACGCTAGCTGATCTGCCAGTGTGGACTATTGGGCTGTGACTTTACCTAGTGGTGAGTCACCTTCGTCACGTTGCAGTGTTTTTAAATGGACCCATGTGGCTTTTTATGGGGGAACGCTTGTCAGGCGATAACCCACCACGTCCTGAAACACTGCCGACAATTCATTGGATGGCAAGTTGTAACTGGCTACGCTTCTTGTTGAGCGCTTATTTGCTCGGTTATTCGCAGTCAAGTTGCGTCTCATTTTTCCGTTGGCTGATGCGTTGGACGAGAGCCTTGTTCGTCCCTGGTTCCTGTTCTGTCCTTACCCAAAGACTCGGCTTGATTGACAAGTCATGCATTGAATATTTTTTGAATGTTATGTGTTGCTCGTCTGTAGAGCCGCGGGCAATCTCCAAGGTCTATCCAAATATAAATAGGTTGATGTCCTAAAGGATGGAATATTGTCCTGAAAACAAATCGGTAGTCTTCTCGGGGTGGTTCTTACACTTGTCTTGAAGTGTAGCTATCCAGAGCCAAATGAGCGGGCAAAGCGGGGTAAAGGGCTTCGAATGAAGGTATCCAGTAGCGAAAGTGGCCAAACCCAATTGTTCTGGTCTTGCATCGGCAGGAGAATATGCCTTCCGAAGTCAACAGGAGAGCTCCAGGTAAGAAGTACGTAAAAACGATATTGTTCGGCAGACTGAACCCAGCCAGTTCGACCGCTTGTTCGATGCGAAACGTCGGTGATAGTCGACACTGGAACGAAACTCAGTGTACGTGGTATCACTGTTAATATCACATAAATAACACCATTCCACCATTTTCCCAGAACGGCAGACTGCGCCAACCTCTTTACTCAGTAATCCAAGCTCGTTTGGCCAATGGATGAAGCTATGCCCACGGCATCACAAGTCACGCACCGCACACGAACGAATGGCCCCCCGTCTTATGCTCTCCACGCCGACTATCGCCCGAGAAGTCAACGGTGACTAAGGCGGAGTTTGAACACATGCTCGAAGTAAGGATAAACCGCCCCGTCGACAGCCCTTCGTCCTCTAGATTGCCAATATTTCCCAAGCAATCTGGTGTCTTGTGCCCTTGCAGTGAGTACGGCGCACTCAATCGGCTAACCGTCCAAGATAGGTATCCCATCCCACACCTGCAAGACCTTACAACATGCCTTACAGGTCAGGCGATCTTCAGCAAGGACGATCTGGTTCGAGCATATGACTAGATACTTGTAGAAGGAAGTGACCTTCCAAAAACAGTCGTTATCAACCTATTGGGCTTGTTTGAGACTTAAGCATACCAATTGAACTATGCAACGCTGCACAAACCTTCCAAAGCGTCATCCACGATGTCACTCGGGACATAAGTTTTGCTTATTCCTACCCCGATGATATTTCCCTAGCCAGCGCGTCGGAACGAGATCATCTCGACCACCTTCGAACTCTGTTCCGCCTTTTGCCCCAACACGGTGTCACAGCCAACCTGGCTAAGGAGGCACTCGGCAAACCAATGGTAGAATTCCTAGGACACTTCGTTTCATCATCTTGCTTCGACGTCCTTTCTGATAATATCCAAGCAATAAAGGTCTACCTTGTTTCGCCTTCTTTCAAGCACATCCGTCGATTTTGGTATTTAGTCAAATAATAATGACGCTTCATCCCTTGCTGCGTCCAGCTCATGCCACCTCTGACGGACCCACTCAGAGGGAATGAATGGAAGTCCTGACACAGCACAGACAGCCTTCACCGAGCTCAAGGATACTATCTCCAAGGTAGATCTTTTGGCGTATTCCGAATCGCCTGCGCCCCTTTCTATAACAACAGATGCCTCAGATGTTGCGGTAGAAGATGTCCTCCAACAACGCGTTGGTGGGCACTAGCAACTCTTGGAGTTCTGATTCAAGCGCCTGCAGCCAGCGGAATCCCTTTGCAACACGTTTGTCGAAAAGCTCGCCATTTACCTAGCAATTTGTCACTTCTGACACACAGGCTTAGGCTGTGCGTTCCCGGTCTACACTGACCACAGGCCCCTCACCTTCGCCTTCAACTCTGCTTGCGACAAATATTCACCACGGAAAACAAGACATCTTGACTTTGTCGCGCAGTTCACTGCTGACATAACTCACGTCTCAGGTATCGATAATCTCGCCTGCGACGCTATCACACGCACTAACCTTACGCTTTAGTCTTTGCCTACCGTCAAACTTGCAGCTATGGCATCGGCTCAGGGTCAAGCTGAGGTCATACAAAGCAGTCTGCACGCCACGTCGCTGCATGTGCAACCTGTTCTTCTCCAAACCACGGAAGGAAGCATTTTCTGTGCCCCTTCCACGGGTAGCTTAGTCCCTCGTGCCCGCTTCCGGCAGATGGACAACGTTTAACCCACTGCACTCTCTAACGCGTCCTGTTATCCATGCACCTTTGAAACTGGTCACAAAACCTTTCGTTTGATCACGCGCAAGCCATGTCGTTCCTAGCTGGGCTCCAGCTTGCACACAACGCCAGTCCTTCAAAATACCTCGTCATACGCGCAGTCTTCTTGGTTTATTTCCCGCCACGTACCAGCGGTGCTCGCAGGTACACTTAGATCCGGTAGGTGCCTTGCATTCTTCATGCAGATTTGTATACATGCTTATACGTGTCGTCCGTTTCACCATATGGAAAGCAGCCATTTCCGTTACGGCTTACACAACTGACACGGCTACCCGGCCGGTGGATCTCACACAACGGATACTCATTAACCAGTACAGCGGATAGAGGAACGCCTTTCGAATCGTTACATTTCGGTACGTTCCGTGGCTGGCTAGTCGAACAACCTTCTCGTGGTGCCAGCTGGGTGGTTCGGGTAAATACCGTTCCAGCAAATGGTTCGGCGGCAGTGTTCCAGGATGTGGTGGGATTTCGCCTGGCAAGCGTTCTCCCTATAAAAGCCACAAGTATCCGTTTAACAACACTGTGACGTGGTGGATGTGACTCGCCACTAAATAAAGTCATTGCCTCTTCCCTTTTCCGGAGGATCATTCACGCATCACAAACGTCATCTGATTCAAAGCATTCCATTGATTCCCCTTTTGATGGCGAACACAACGAACAAAAGCACACACTGTCACATTTACCTATTCACACAACACGTCCCATCCAAATACACAGTGAAACATAGTTTTACATCATAACACACACATAAATGCCTATGTTATTGGTCAAAATGTACTGAATTGTGCACTTAAATAAATAAATAAATATAGGTATATTTCTAGATAAGCGCTAGCTGCTGTTCCTGCGTGGGATCAGATCAAATTGTACATAACATCCATGCTCATGCATGGAGAAGAAATATCGTTAACAACTGCTTTTGATCGTGTTTATCTTTCCGAACAGTAAAGCAGGGATAAATACAAACGTTTCGTAGGCCTCGACATTTATGAAGGCAGTAGTCTGGGTCTCCGTAGCTTATGTACGAATTCTACGCTTTTCACCGGCTACCGCTGCCAAACCTTGAGGTGCCTGATTCCATTAGTAAACGATCAATCTATTATGCCAATGGATTGTGTTATTTTCGATGGAAAAGGCACCAATAGAGCAAAATTCGATCCATTTTCTTCGGTCACATCACCGCATTTCGAGCATCCATTAGTAGCGGGCTCATGGAAAGGAATAAGCAAGCCAAAATTAGATCGTAAAAGTGGAGGGTGGAAACAAAGGAAATAATAGTAGTGGCTAACAATTTAGCCTTTCTTGGAAAAGTGCGACTGAAAGGCCGGCCCACTTAACTAGAAAATATACTAATAATGGAAAATGGAGACAAAATATAGCCCAGAAACAGCATACCAGAACCGCAAACCTGGCGCAAATTTCAAAGTGTAAATCTCCAAACAAGCGGGATCAACGCCGTTTTGGAGCCGAAGTGTTAACTTATACGGGACAACAATGGGCGGTCTAGGACAAACCCTAGGCGCTGGTTACGACAAAGGTAAAATAATTAAGCTAGGTGCAGTGGTTATGGAGATATCTGCATTTTTAGCGGTCGGCGGCGGATAGCGCCATTTTCGAGACGCCGCTAAATTCACGTTCTGATTTGGAAGCAGATACAGAAAAAAGAAAGAAATAATACAAAAAACGGCTAGGCGTAATAAGTTTCGAATATGGAGTAGTAATAGGGAATGCCTAAGATAACGTGTAATTCGCCGCAGTAGCGAAGTATGACGCAGTGGGCCGAAAAGCATACTTTCTCAGTAAACGTAGTAAAAGTTGGGAAAACAGACGGAAAGGTTTTAGGGAAATACTAGGTAGGCTGTAAGAATTATTATATGGGTAGAACAGCACAGGATATGATGTAGCTAGCCCACAGCCAGAATGCGACCATGTGCGATTTTCAGAGTATATTGGGCCGCAGAATCCACTACGACTGTGGAATTCAACGTTTTTAATGCTCCGGTGTAGATGGGAAACTTATACCAAAGCCGCATGAGCTGAGTCCATATGGATAAGACAAGGGAACATAAAACTCATTTGCCCGTCTGAACTAGGATTGTAGTCTAAAAGGCCAAACGGAAAGGGCTTAACTACATATAGGAACTCAGTCTATACATAAGAAGGCTGTGGCTGACCTTAGGTAAAGCACGATCTTCGCTAGGCTGTCAGTTAGTCGCACAATCAGGTCGGAAGACGGAACTTAGTCGGCACAATAGATCGACGCGTTTGATCCGATGATCGATGGACGAGGCCAGCAGACAGACGACGACAAACAGCACAACACGCGGAGCCGAAACCAGAAGGCGAAGCGAAACCCGAAAAAGTGTCGTATCGGTTGTTGGTCAGTTAAAACAAAACTGTACAATAATAATAGAAATGAGAATAGGAAAGTACAATTGGGAAGAAAGATATGTACAAGCGCTACAGAACTCTCCCCCTAGAGCGTGAGTCACTGAGACGAAAGCTCGATACTTGGGTGTCATTTACCGTAGTCTGGAAGGGAGAACAACTGTACGTCCGAAGGGTGTTCGATGATGCGATTTCGAGTTTTGTCGTGAGGTGCTTGGGGTGCGGAAGAGGGAACAGAGGTGTCAGACATGGGCTGCGTAGGAGGCGTACTTGGGAAGGTGAGCTGGTCGGTGACAGGAATGTCTGTGGGTTTCGGTATGGGTCGTGACTCGATGTACGCCGGCTTCAGGCGGTCAATAGTCACAGTATCCTGATAACCATTTCTATCCAACACGAAGTAATGCTCTTTCCGGGCAACAACCTTGAAGGGGCCCTCGTAGGGCGGTGTCAGAGGTTCACGGACGGAATCGAAGCGCACGAGAACGAAGAGGCATGTGCGCAAATCCGGGTGTGCCTGTTGACTCCGAGGACTGATTCGAGGTGGCGTTGGACGAATTGAACTGAAGTGCTGCCTCAGGCGTGTGACGTACGAGATCGGATCAACTTCTCCAGTAACCCTTAAGTCTAGCACCATTTCTCCAGGGAGCCTGAAAGTAGTGCCAAAGACCAATTCAGCGGGACAACAGCCAATGTCTTCTTTAATGGTGTTACAAATACCAAGCAAGATAATCGGTAGACGTTCTGACCATTGTGAGTTCGACTGTGAAGCAGTAAGCGCAGCTTTAAGTTGACGATGAAAACGCTCAACCATGCCATTAGCAGCTGAGTGATAGGCGGTCGTCCGTAGGTGGGAACAACCGAGCAAGCGGTTCACGTCACGAAACAAGGCCTAATTGAATTGGGACCCTCTATCGGTAATAATAGTGGCTGGCGTGCCAAAGACGGAAATCCAATTCTCAATGAATGTTCGCGCCACCGTTTCTGTAGAAGCATCACGTAAAGGCACGGCAAGTGGCCAACGCGTATAACGATCGACACATGTCAATAAGTAGACAAAACCGTTGGATGGAGGCAAGGGTCCAACGATGTCAAGATGAACATGTTTGAAACGAGCGTCGGGAAGAGCAAACGTGCTGGGGACAGTAATCGTGTGACGGTGGATCTTGCTGGTTTGGCAAGTGATACAATGTTTGGCCCACTGCTGGATCTCGGAGCGCATGTTGTGCCAAATGAAGCGATCAGTAATCAGCTTGACGGTGGCTCGGATGTTCGGGTGTGAGATTCCATGCAGGTGGTCAAAGACGATTCGGCGGTACTGTTGAGGGACAAAAGGCCGGGGCTTGCCAGTAGAAATATCACAGTAAATTTTGGAGTTTGAGTTAAGGATTGGCAACTGTGATATTTTGATCGATGGATTTGATCTTAGTTGCACGAACTCAGGATCTCCTTCCTGATGAGCTGCTATGTCTTCTAAGTTAATCTTCTGCTGTGAAACTTCGTGAAGACATATACGCGACATGGCATCGGCGACAACGTTATTGGCAGCATAGACATGGCGAATGTCAGTAGAAAACTGTGAAATATAATCCGAATGACGAATTTCTCTCGGGGAGAAGCGGTCGGATGAACCCCGGAAAGCAAAGACAAGTGGTTTATGGTCTGTAAGAATGGTAAAAGTGCGACCTTCAAGCAAGTGCCGAAAATGCTTGATAGCAAGGTAGATAGCTAAAAGTTCTCGACCGAATGTGCTGTATCGCGTCTGTGCTGGCTGGAGTTTACGAGAGAAAAAGGATAGCGGCTCAGGTTGACCGTTGATCACCTGCTGGAGAACAGCCCCAACGGCGATCTGAGATGCATCAGTCTTGAGGATGAGAGTGGCGTCAACATCAGTCCTCAAATGACTAAGCGCGGTAGCGTTGGACAACGCGTGCTTGATCTTGTCGAATGCATCGATAGCTTCCTGAGTGGGCTGGAATTTTCGTGACCGGCCTTTGAGTAAATCGGTCAATGGCTGGAGTAGCCCAGAGCAATCTGGTAGGAAACGGCTGTAATAATTCACCATGCCGAGAAAACGACGGAGACTTTTGAAAGATTGAGGCATGGGGTAGTCTGCAATCGTTTGTGCTTTCTCGGGGAGTGGACTAATACTATTGCAATCAATTCGGTGGCCCAAAAAATCAATAGAACTTTGGCCAAAAACACATTTTCAACACTGATCGTAACGTCGTACTGAGCAAAGCGTTCGAAGATCGATCGGAGATGTGAGAGATGCTAATCATGATTGGAACTGGCCACAAGAATATCGTCAATGTAGGCGTAGACGAAGTCGAGCCCTCTAAGGACCTGATCGATAAATCTTTGGAAAGTCTGTGCGGCATTTCGTAAACCAAATGGCATGCGAACGAATTCATAAAGACCAAATGGCGTGGTTATAGCGGTCTTCGGAATATCGTTGGGAGCAACCGGAATTTGGTGGTATGCACGCACAAAGTCAATCTTAGAGAAAACTGTTCTTCCATATAGACCAGTTGAAAAATCATGAATGTGCGGAACCGGATATCTATCGGGGACGGTGGAATCGTTTAGTGCACGGCAATCTCCGCAAGGTCTCCAGTCGCCACTGGACTTTTTGGGAACCATTTGAAGTGCGGAGGAACATGGGATATTGGAAGGACGAACGATACCGAGACGAAGCATATGTTCGAACTCTGCCTTGGCAGTAGCGAGCTTGTCTGGAGGTACTCGTCGAGGTCGGGCGGTTACTGGCGGTCCATATGTTATAATGTGGTGCGTAACTTCGTGCCTAGGCTCAGGAAAGTCATTAGACGATTGACAAAGAGCACGAAAGTGCAGTAATAGTTTGGTAAACACATTGTCGGCGGGAAATGCCAAGCGAAGACCGATCGAACTGATCAAAGTGACTTTACCCGAAACGGAGAAGGATGTCAAACTATCGCATAGTTTACGGCTACGCAGGTCTACGACCAGGCCAAACTTGGTAAGGAAATCAACATCAAGGATGGAGCGTTGGACGTCAGCGATGAGGAAAACAAAGGGAAAACTTCGACGAAGACAAAGGTCAAGAGTCAACATTTTCTGGTCGTATGTATGGATCTTGGTATTGTCAGCCGCCTGCAATGTCGGTCCGGTTGGAAATAGGTTGCGTTTTTCTGCAGAACGAGGAATAACGCTGACCTCGGCACCGGTGTCAACCAAGAAGTTCAAATTGGTTGAGAAATCGTAGGCGTAAAGTAGGCGACGGTAAGATTGGTCAGACGCAGCCGTCGCCATCACTGGCTGGCGTGGAGGTTTCCCTGCTATGGTTTGTGGAATGCTTACGGATGGTTACAACCAGGTCGGCAATTCCTTGCATCATCGCCAAAACGGTAGTGGTACCAACAGAAATGACGTTTCGAACTCCTGGCGGGACTACATCTACTTCGAGAGGAGCGCCTAGGGCTTCTACCACGGTAGCGATTAATGCTCGAGATGGCGAGCTCCAGCTTCGATAACCTCTCAGAAATGGTTTCAATCGGGTCAGTCCTAAGATCCGCGTTAGTGGTCGACTCAACTGCGTGACATGCTGAGGGTTTATGAAAGTACTCATGAACTTTGTCTGCTGTTTCAGCCAGCTTGTCCAAAGGCAACTCATCCGCGAAGACGGCGAGAGGAGCTGAGGTGTTCGATGGAAGACATTTCGTCCAGAACTGTCGCAGAATCGTGGCATCGATCTTGGAGGAACCGACTAACGTACGCATGTGCCTGAGAAGTTGTGATGGCGTGCGATCACCTATTCTCACTTCCATTATTATTGTACAGTTTTGTTTTAACTGACCAACAACCGATACAGGATAACGCAGGCATTTCCTACAGAAATATTGCCAGTTTCGACTGTTTGAGGCTATTTTATACGTCGTTATGGTTGTATCACTGACACTAATGAGCCAGGATGGTCTTCCAGTGATAATTAAAGAAACTAATGTGAGAAAATTCGCGAACTGTGTCCAGGTGAGAAACACCTTGGGTTCCGCTTTGGTTAGACACGAATACCACTTCTTTTAAGGGTTGCGCCATCTCAAGCATGACTGATTAGTGGGCCACAGGTGCTAAAGCACACGATCGTGCATTATGTTGCTAGTTTAGAGCTCTATTTCTCTTAGCTGAGAGTCAGATGCAAGCGCCTGTGGTGTTGGACCATAATAACGCAATCGTTCCCTGGAGAAACATCATCAGTTTCAGCACTTTGAGGTTATGTTATATATCTTAATGGATGTGCCACCAATGTTAATGAGCTAGAGATGTCTTTTATTGATAATAGAGAAATAGGTGTCCAAAAAATTAGCGAAATGCATTCAGGTGGGAAATACCACGAATGCCGCTTTGGTTAGGCATTATCACCTCATCTTATAGAGGTTGCACTTTCTCATTTGTGCCGGATTATTGGGCCTCATGTGTTAATGCACACCATTTCTGTATCGCGTTGCTATTTTGAGCTCTAACTCTCTTGGTTGGGAGTCCGATGCAAGTGCAAGTGATATTCACCAGTGTAAGGTAATAGAAAACTGGGAGATCACAGCAGCTATAAGCTTGGAGGTTTTTTGGTGGGAAGCGTCCACATTGTCTGGCAAAATGAATGAACTATAATATATCGCAAGCAGAGAAGATAACGGAAAACAAGTGGGAGCTGGTTGTTCACCCACCATAACGCATTACGTATGGTAGGCTTTGGAGCCAGGTGAAGGTTAAAATTACGTAGGAACGGCCAAGGATGGAAGAATTGGTGGTCAAAATATCTGGGTGTCTAGCTTTCCAGGTGAAAGGGGCCTCACTGCCGCATGGTTAGCTTTTTGCCAGTGAAAGGGAATCCGGAATAATTGTTGTGCAAGCATAAAGGATTGAAGAAAAGGATCTGGTTTTCTTAATGCCTGTCTACCAGCGTTTCCGATAGTGATAGGCATACGTATAACTCAGATAAAACTAAATGTATGGGCCAAGAAAGCTTAAGTGGAGAGTAAATGCCTGAATATAGGTTATGGTGATATTGCCTTCGAGGTAGGTAGGTGGCCCTGTTATATAATCAGCGGTGTAAAGTAGCGAGTACTTAAACCTAGGGGAGGGCCTCGGTTATGGGCAACTAGTAGATGCCGATTACGTAGGCTAGTAGAAATACCTATAAAGTAGGCAATTTATACGACTATTTTAGACAGATAAATGGTAACTTACGGGTGCACCATATTTGTGGACAACAACGCTAGAACCTGGCATTTCACATGAGGCTTAATGTTCTTAAAATGTTTTTAGTAGACTTGACTAATGGGTCACGAGTATAAGTATTCGCAAGAGACCAAGTGGACTAGGTATTTGGAAAATACTAAGGGGTAAAGATGGAGACGAAGGAATTAAAGTGTAGAAGAGAAGGAAGAAGTGAAGTAAAGTTTGTCCGTTCGGATTGCTTCCCCATTGCTATGCAATATCCTACCTGGTCAGTGCATACAGGCTTACGATGCTCCCATTCAATAGTACAAGGCTGCTGTACGTGCTGATATGTTGAGCAGTAAGAAACTGGACGTCGAGAAGGAGCTTTCAAAGGATTTGAGCTACTGATTAGTGTTTCCAGGTTGCCTTTGCGGTAGCGTCTACTATTTCAAGACTTCCTATGTAACTAAGTGTCGGTGGGAGCCAGTAAAGCGCTCAGCTACTACTGGGGTAGGCTGAATACCTTTTGTGGTCGGATTAGCAGTCCTAACATCTGTAAGGTACGTGCAACTGATCGGGCCGAGATCTCTTACGTGGTGTGACAGGGACCGCGAA